GCCACTCGCAACCGCCGTTCTGGACAAAGGATCACCAGCCGGGTGCCAACGGGTGTCCTGGCTCATCCTTGATTATAAAAAGACAAAAAAGGAAGGAAAAAGAAAGAGAGAAAATGAAGAGGCAAAAAAAAAAAAGGAAGAAGAAAAGGCGGAAGAATGAGTTGGCGCTTTGGCGTCTTTTCGATGAAGATCGATCTGGTTTGAAAGCTCTTCCGAGCCGCTTACTCTTTTCAACGGGTTCTCCGTGGAATTTCAGATTCGTATCGCGCGCAAACAGCTTCAAAGATCGAAGAACCCCGCTCTCCCTTCCTTCCGCCGGATGAAAAGCGGGAGGGGGGAGGGCGATATCGTTGCGTGTTGAGCGATCGAAAAGGACGGAGTATGTAACTATATACCGCGCGACGAAAATGGTAGAATTAATCGTTCGAATTGCTGAGGTATCGTCGATTGTCTGCTGTTCAATTATAACGGATAAAAGCTGCAATTAATGTTCCTTGCGTAGTCATAGAAAATAATTAATTTCTAAGCAAGTTCGAATGATACTTTATTATCGTTTGTTTGAAACTTGTCTTTTTATAATTGTCGTCTTCTTCGAATTAAAAAAAAAAAAAAGGGGAAAAAAGGAAAAAGAGTTAAAATTAAAATGAACAAGATCGTTTGTAAATTAAATAGGAAAATTTCTTGTTTTATTGAAGTATAGAGAAAAAAATTCAAATCGATTGACAATTTGAATAACGTTATAATAAAAAGAGTTGATTTGTTTATCATATCGCCATTTTTATCTCTATCGTATACTTTATTTTAATTACGTTCATACGTCTGAGAACTTTGACTCTTTTGAATGTATGATCAGTTTTATTAAAATTACTAAAACGTGAGAAATTAATATCATTAATGACATTATCACATATTGATTTCATTTATTTTTAAACAATCTCGATTCTTTCTTTTCATTTTTCTATATTTCGTCATTCGCGTTTAATTAATAATTTTCGCGTAACATTAAACACAAACAATACTTTATAAAAGATATTATGAATATATAGAAATGCATATGCGAAATAGCTTCTGATCGAATTCTTTCTCGATTTGTTTCAGGTCTTCAGCCTGCCAGCACCAAAGCGCAACCTACCACGATCAGCAAATCTCATAGACCCAGTTCTGGCGTGTTACCTCAGGGTCATACCCCTGGTCCTGGTCCAGGTGGCCAACAAAATAGCAGAAGTTTTGCCGCCGCTCTGAGAAACCTGGCTAAACAGGCAGGGCCGGCACCTCAGGAAGAAGAACCTCGCGCGAGTCCCAAAAATCGAGCCCCACCTCCTCTGGTTAGAGGTCCTTCCCCTGCCAAGGTGAGTAATCGCCATTACCGACCGATCCTCTTCCATCTTTTCTTTTTCTTCTTGCTTTCACCCTTATTTTTCCTTCTTCCTTTTCCTGCCTTTCTCTTTAAATTCATCGAACCTGTTTCGATCAATAAAAACATAGCGGTAGTCTCCTTCCCTTTTTTCGTTTCTCACTCAAAATGTCAGCCGATAACATTATCGACGGCCGATAAAAAAGGAACTATTATAGAACAAGGAAACGTGAATTTTTTTTAGGAACGATCCACACACGAGAGAAGACCAGAAGAAATTCCCTCGTTGTACACGACTGCGAGGCCCGCGGATACCAGCAAACATAGCGTAACCGCTGCCGCTTCCGAATTGCTGGCCCGATCCGGTTTTCAACCGTACCGGCCTGAGCATCATCCGGCCCACGCTCCACCGGCTTTCGCCCTCGATCCCGCGGCCTACAATCCTTATCATCACGGTCTCTATCCACCGCCACACCTTCAACACGCTTATAGGTAACGTATCACGTAATCAATCATTTCTCGCGAATGCTCTTCTTTCACCGAATAATAAACGTCTCGTTCTCGATCACCAGATTAGAGGAACAGTTGTATTTGGAACGGTGTGGAATGCTGAGACCGCCATTATTTCCTGGGTTACCTTCGTATCCTCTGTACGGACTAAGATATAGTCCGGACATGTTACCGCCCGCGTCCCTCGGACTCATGTCTCCCGTGATGCACGAGAGGTAAGAGAAACTCTTGATGCTTGACTCGATAAATATTGTCGATATCACCGTATCTCGAAAATCTTTGATCAAGAGACTTTTTTTCTCTTTCTTCCTCCCTCCCTCTCTCTCTCTCTCTCTCTCTCTCTTCTCTCTCTTCTTTACTTTA